GTTAGGTGTACATTTTTGTGTCAAAGTGTAACATTATCTCGTGCAAATATGTAATCAGCAGTTGTTGCTTTTGGATCCCAATAAAAAATTAAAAATACGTACAGGTATGTAGAATTTTGTTAGGAGATTTGATGCTTGTCCACAATTCAGGCGTTATTAAATGGATTGGTTGTGACAGGGAAGGATACTTTTTGAAAACTACTGTTTCTGGAAGATAGAATTAATGCAGTACAAACATTAAAAGAAACACCCAATAGCATCAAATAATTTAGATAAACAGTCATTAGAATCTAATTGGAAGAAGTTTTCATGTTATAAGTCCAAGGGCATTTTGTGATTGTGCTAAATGCCAAAATCCAAATATTTGTTTCTTCAGCAATGCATTTTGAAATCTGGGCCGTATATGGAGATACAACTATGCAGTGAAGTTGTTGGTATGACTGGGATTAGGGTCTCCCAAAAGATTTCAGTGACCAGGAGGATTATAGGTTGAATTTAATATATTTATTTAATTAAAATTATTAGGTGGAATATTTCTTAGAAAAATTGCTGCCATCCTCATCTTTGTATATTTTTGGATAACAAACATTACCAAATATTACCTATATGATTTAAAATTAATAAAATTAAATTGTTTTAAAAAATCTAGTTTTTTCCCCACAAACTTAAAAAATAAATCATAAAGAGTCTGGGAGCACCCTTTTACACTAACAAATTTTAAAGCATAAGCGTTTGTGAACCTTAGATCCAGATGAAGTGTTTCATGAAGCTGGTTTTGCTGCAATAACTTCCCAGGAAAAAGCTGGTTAAAGTTATTTTTGTGTTGTAAGTTTTGCGGGAAAGTATTTTGAGGGAAAGAATGAACTGATGTTTATGGGTGTATGTGAATTGTTCTGGTCACATGGTCAGCTATGTATTAATTTAAGCTGACAGCCTTATCGAATGGGATTAGTACCATCCTTGGAAAAGTTTGGAATTTAGCTTTCCATGCATGTTAAATATGAAAGAGACTTTGAAAAGCTTGAAATACTTTAATATAAACTATTTATCTTCTTTGCCTTGAACTTTGGGAGACACAAGTCTCCAGTTTTGTCAAGTTAGGTGAACGGTATTGTAGATAGTTAGGCGGCAACTCTATCTGGAAATATGTCCCACTGAGTTTGATGGAGTTTGTATCTAACCAGAGATGTTAAGGTGGGGCTATATATTCAGGGATCAGTTTCAGAAACGTTAATCCAATAATAGAATAGTTGGAATGAATATTGTCAAAGAAAATGTTATTAAAAAAATGGTTCCTCTAATGAACTACTTGCATCAAACCACAGAAAATATATGTGTATGGGGGACACATTTCTTTATCATTTTCTTTATTTTATTTTATTTATATCCCTTCTTTCTGTTCAATTTGGCTTTTGGATCAAAAGTTTTCCACCTAGGCTATGAAATTCCATATTGTTTGCATTTACTTAAGAATTTGTTTGATGTTTCCTTAATGATTTTCTCTTACTGCTTAAAGATACATTTATTTTGGTAAACACTAAATCTTGCAAGTGATCTTATTAATATTTTACCTGTCAAAGAGAGCATGGAGCCTGCTAGTTATGACGCTTTCTTGTTTTGGTCACCAGGGGTAGACAAAACCTGTCTGATTAGTCTTTGATGGGCTGTAGTGAAAGGATAGAGGTGTGTTCAGCTTCATACCTAGCATGTTGCACACTTTTGATCTGAAGGTGCTTCAGTGTAGCTGGCAAATTCCTTTAATCAGAATACCTGAAAGTGGGAACTTCAGCACGCCAATCCTTTCAAAATAGATGAGTTTTATTTCCAAAAATAATCTCTGTACTTTGAATTTTAGGCCGTCTTTGATGCACAGATTGCAAAAACTGGCCTGATAACCACACATTTTAGTTATGACAGGCATAACTGTTGCTAGATATTGAGGAATAGCATATTTAGCTGTTTGACAAAATATAGTTTGGTATATTAAAAGTGACAAAGAAGAAATGGTTGGTGTTATTGGGAACCATCCCTATGAAGTTATGCAGTAAATGTATTGATTTTAAAAAGACAACCAAAGTATCACACATCAGTAATCTCAGAAAATGGCTGAAGTCGCTTGTTAGGCTTTGGCCATTGTATTCTGTGGTGCCATTGTGTGAGGCAAGGTAGGTTAAATGTGCTGACATTAAAGAACAAGCTCTGTGAATATTTTTTATCTATTTGAGTTGCTTATGAACAATGAGCAATGGACAATGAGTAAAAGGGTACAAACAGATAAGCTCATACCAATTATTATACAGCTGACACACATGGTTTAAAAAAAATGTTGCCAAAAGCTTAGTCCATATTAAGTAATGTAGCAAAGATAGTGAAAAATTAATACAAATATATAGACAACACAGTGTGGCATCTAATTATAATCTGAAAAAGGGCCATGGATGGTGCCATTACAAAATACAAAGATAGGATTCAGAATATTCCTTGGGCTTGTAGAGAGGGTCATAAAGACCTAGAGAGGGTGGCAGGGGACAATATCACAAGTTTGTCTTCTAATAATAGAATATTTATGAATTGTTATGACTGACGAACAAAGAAACAAGGAAACACCTGGATGCACATCTTAAAATAAGAAAGTTCATTAAGAAGGTTTGTGCAATCTCCAGCTTGGTGTCTCAGGTTTTGCTGAACAAAAACACCTGAATCACAACCTCATTTGAAACTGTAATTTTTTGGAGTAGGGAGCACATTCAGAATTTTGAGAACATATGATGGGCATGTTCACAAAATAGGACAGTGGCCTGTTTACAAAATGACTGCTACATTGAAAATAGTAAGGCATAAAATAGCTATTTAACTAGTCCTCCGTGATGATCTCCACCCTCCTAATGAGACAACACAGTTCAGAGGCATAGTGCAAAAATATGACGAGAGAGGCAGGAGCTTTGCTTGCCTCCCTGCTAGCTTCCTATTTGAAGTTAAAACAGTCTTTGAAAATGAGATGAGACAGATAACGGGGTGCATTAGAGCCTTGAGCTTCCCTTTGTTCCTTATAAGAAGTAATTCAGCTACCACTGTGATTTTAAACCCAACCTAGACCATTATGTGGACTACTACTACCACTGTATAAGATAAGGTTGGACAACATGGTCCATGCAGATACCATGACACACAAGACACCCAGATTGCATCCATAGAATTAAAAATATTAATGTAATGTAATATAATGTAATAATAATAATATCTTCCTGCGACAATTCCTTTAAAACCATCAAACAACAACGTCTGCCTATCCCAGGTCCTTGGGAAGGACTGGATAGGTGGATAGAAATGCCACATCCAGTCTAAACATCTGGCTGACTGTGTGACCAATCATCATCATCATCATCATCATCATCATCATCATCATCATCATGATGCAAATGTCATCTCTGCATAGAAGTTGAAGAAACAGTGGACACCTAGGTAGCTGCTGCAAGAAGAACACACAGACTGACTGCAAACAATCGCATGACAAGGTAGCAACAGTGGTGCACTGGAATATCTGCAAGAAGTACCATTGGAAGTAAGAACTGATGGGACCACAAAACAGGCGAAGTAATAGAAAATGAAGAAGCTCTGGGATTTTAGAATTCAAACAGACAAGTGCCTGCCCCATAATACCCCAGACTTAATAATTGTTGATAAAAAGAAAAAAAGGCTGGGTAGTGGACATTGCAATATCTGGAGACAGCAGAACAGAAGAGAAAGAACTGGAGAAAATCACAAAATACAAAGACCCGCAAACAGAAATAGAATGACTGGAAAAAGAAAGCAAAGATAGTACCAATAGTTATAGGAGCCTTGGGTGCAATCCGAAAACATTTGGAGTACCACTTGAAGGCCATCGGTATTGACAAAATCACCATTGATCAATTGCAAAAGGCAACTTTACTTGGAACAGCTATATCATACCTTTGACACCATCGAACAATAACATCTGCCTATCCCAGGTCCTTGGGAAGAACTCAATAGGTGGATAAAAATGACAAATCCAGTCTAAACATCTGGCTGGCTGTACGACCAGCAATGATGATAATACAGTTAAAAATACCAAATGGCCAAAATCAGATTATCAAACCTCACTAGAATTTGGAATTCTCAGCTGAAATCTTACAAGATTTTGGGCAGGAATCCTAATATTGTGTAAAGTTTGGCAATTTTAAGAGATTCTGGCATTTTAATTTTTATTTTAGTGCCCATACCTGGGACTAGCAGTTGTGAAATAGTGCCTTAAGTTATTCAAAGTTTTGGATATTGTTCATTCCATTCTTTAGAATTTATGAATGGCTTATTAATGTTTGGCAGATTCACACTGAAGTATTCTTGCGGATCCTGTTTCTCAAGAGGTGGAGGAAATTTCTGTTTTTAAAAAGAGTTGCTTATGAATGTCAAACTGCAGCTAAGCAGGTCTCTCTCAAGTCTGAGTTCCCTCACCCAGGAATAAGTGTAATTCCTAAAATGTCATTTCTTTTATGTGTTGTAAATTTTGTAAAGTGCAGAGTTTTGTTTAATGGAACATTTAAACCCAAGGATTTAAACACACAGAAACAAATTAGGTTTTTTGAAAATACAGTGGTACCTCTAGTTATGAACGCCCCTACTTACGAATTTTTCGAGATACAACCAGCTCTGGCCCCAAAAATTTACCTCGACTTGCGAACTCGCCTCGACTTACGAACCGGATCCGTGGCCATTTTCCGCCCCTGACACGCGGGCCGCGGCCATTTTTCCGCCCTGCCGCGTGGTCCGCGGCCATTTTCCGCCCCTGACACGCGGGCCGCGGCCATTTTTCCGCCCTGCCGCGCGGTCTGCGGCCGTTTTTCCGCCCCCGACGCGGGGTCCGCAGACACCGGAATGGATTAACGGTAATTACGTTGAACCTTATGGGAAAATTTGCCTCATGTTGCGACCAATTCGAGTTGCAACCAGAGTCACGGAACGGATTAAATTCGTAACTCGAGGTTCCACTGTACTCTTTTGATGGTTCCTTTTTTCTTCATAGGGTGATCAATGCAGGGAAAAGTACGCACAACGAGGACCAAGCAAGCTGTGAAGTGCTTTCAGTGAAGAAGAAAATGGGGGCAACTAATTCAACACCAAACAGAAATTCCTCTACTAAGCGGAGATCATCATTGCCCAACGGGGAAGGGTTGCAACTGAAAGAGAATTCAGTAAGTCTCTTTGTCTTCTCAGTGATCCATCGAGATAATTCGTTTACCTGTAAATATTTTTGTACATGAACACACACACATGCACACACACACACTCAATTAAACTTTAGTGCTTTCTTAACAAGTTTATCTTCTTTCCAAAAATGTGGGAAATACTGCCGTGAAACATTTACTGCTAGAGGGCACTGTTATTCTAGAAGTTAGAGCATTTCATTTTTTAGTCCGCAGCACGAGTCTGGAACTATGAAATTGAATAGTGTCATTATTATTATGCTAAAAGATATACACAATTGCATGCTACTGAAGTTATCCCAGAGTTCCTCCACCCCCATGCGCTTATCTGTGTGGTAAGGGTGATTTGAATCTTCCTGTGTGCTGTATAAACATGTGAGTCAGTACAAGTGAGACATTCTAGGTGGGGTATTCAGGCTTAATAGTGAAAGTTCCCGAACAACATAAGGAGTTTTTAAGGAGAATATATTCCTGACAAACCTATATGAATTGGATCTGAGCCAAATACAGTTGCTGATTCAGTTTGAACAGATGAGTTGAGCTGATTTGATAGTTTAAGATTTGATCAATCGTCTTAAAATTAAATTTCCGAATCAAATGTTCACATATTCACACTTGTGTAAAATGAACTGCCCTTGTGGAGAAGAATAACTAACTTTGAATGTTTTTCAGAGCATGTTCACAAAATGATCTTGTACAAGCAGAGAAAAGGAATTAGATTATAGAGATGGATCAAAATTTAAGTTATGCTTAGACTAAATGTAGCAGAATTTAATTTAGGCATGACTAAGTATCCCCTTGATTTAAGTGGGTCTGCTCCAACCAACTCTGGATCCAGCCCATATATTTTCCTCCCTCAAAGCCATCTTAATGATTTTGAGAAATGGATGTATCTGCCTTTATTCTATTAATGGGTGAATATGAACAATGAAATGTATTTCTTAAAAAAATACTTCTTTTCTTAAACAGGAATCGGACAGCATTTCTTTCCATTATTGGTCATTATTTGATGGCCATGCTGGATCTGGGGCCGCTGTGGTAGCCTCAAAGTTGCTGCAGCATCATATTGCAGAGCAGTTGCAGGAGATAGTGGACATCCTGAAAAACTCTGCTCTCCCACCTCCCACCTGCCTGGGGGAAGAGCCAGAAAGCATGAATGCCAACAGCAGAACTCTAACCCGGGCAGCCTCATTGAGGGGAAGCGTTGGAACTCCAGGTTCACCTGGCACTCCACCTACTCGCTTCTTTACAGAAAAGAAGATCTCACAGGAATGCCTTGTGATGGGGGCTATTGAGACCGCATTCAGGGAAATGGTAAGTATCGTTTGCTGGTTTGGGTGTCTTCAGAATAACTCTTACGTGTGATGGTAAATATACTTGGGTAGTGGGAGCTGACATGCTGATCTAAATACATTTTCAAACGTTGAGTATATAAAAATATATTTGACTCTACAGTTATAAAACAAATGATTAGCAAAACACATAAATAGTTTATACATCTTCCTAAGGTATGTAACATTGGATTTACAATTTGCCCTTTTCTCTCTAATGAAAGGCAAGACGTATGAAAGTAGGTGTATAAAGGAAGTTAATGATACACTTGTTTAAAGTTATTGGCTTTTTCCTCACACAATTGTTGCTGTGGGGAAAAAATGTTGTAAACCTCACCTTGAGCTCCTGGAGGAAAGGTAAAAATACAGTTACTAAATAACTATATAAATAAAAATACTGCCCCCCTAAAATTGCAACATGTAAATCAGCTTTGCTATTGTTTTACTTTGTCCTTTCTGTAGACTGTTTTCCATTCTTGATATTAGCCATTTGTCTATATTATATGTGTGTCAGTGAAAACCACTGTTTCTTCATTACCTTGGTTTGAAGTAATTGTAATTATCTCATAATTGTTTAATAGAAACTTTAAAGTAGTTTTGCCTTATACTTCTCTATTAAGATGGTGTAAAATACAATTTCAAATGGGACCTGATGTACAGAGTCAGTTAACTCTACCTCTCCCAAAGACTTCATTCTAGTAGGGTATGAAATGTTTCAGATGGCACAGTTTTGAAACACCCTGTCCTAAACCCAGAACCGTTATTCAGAGTGTGTAACAGGCCTTTTTGAATATTTTGGAATTTTTTCTGAGTTGAAGAACTGTTTGAAGTGCAGAATACTCAAAACAGCCATTCTGTACTTCAGGCAGTCATTTTGTGCTCAAAATGGGGTGTTTCAGATTGAAAAAGTTTCATTCAAAAGTTTTACACCTCTCTATTCTCTTCCATTACCATCACCACCCTTTATCAACATTATCTTCATTCATTAGATACACTCAGTAGGGACTGAAGTCTCTGTGGACTGGCCATGCAGTGGTTAAGCATTTCAAGGAAAAAGCTCCACTGTTTTTTAAAGTTAAAGGTATTCTCATTTCCCTAGATTTGATAGATCTGTTGCTCTTTTGCTCCCCTCCAGCCCTTCAAAGTTGGGAGAAAAATTCATAGTAGAATTTTGAGCACAGTTCCAGTGAAGTTATGTATGGAGTGAGATATATGTGTAACAGAGAAAATTGAGGCCAGCTCTTTATAGACTTTGTACAACTCTTCCTGTTTTGTCTCCCTGTCTCTTAATCTTTGCATGACTTTCAATAATTAGGACATGAAATCGTGTTATAATTAGAAGGATCAACATCTGTGTAGGTTAAATCATTCCCCCCATACTGCTGCAGAATATAAAGAGAATATAAATTAAAATAACTTCAGCCAGTTATATTATAAATAAGATTGAAGTTTATTTAAGACTGCTTCATAGTTCTAGAATAATACTGAACTGTATGACAAAATCTATCCAGTTTTTTGTTGTTGTTGTGCTCCCAGTAAACAAGAATAAATTGATAATAGAGAACAACTTGGCAGCTTATATGACACTTTTCACATAATACAGAATTTTGCAGAGTGGAATTTGGTAATATTGGATGTCATTATTTGGTGGATTTTCTGTCTGTGTGTCAGGTTTTTAGCACAGATGATTGGAAATCTGCAGATTTGGATCTGAATCCAAAGGTGGCATTTTTGAATAATTATTAAATCATATATTCTTTATTTTGGTCCTAGAACAGCATATTTGAATGGAAAAGCATTTCCACTAATGGAAGATGGTCCTCCTCAGTTACCTTCATTTCTCCCATGTGCTGCTATAGCCCCCAGTATCAGTTCTTTGCCATTTTGGAAGGTTCAAAGCTTTTAGATCCAAACTATAGACTCTTGACCTGGCCTGATTAACAGACTAACAGGTGGAACAGGTTCACTCTTGTAGAATTTGAGCATCTGTGTTTTGCTCAACTGGAATCATAGGCAAAAATCTGAACACTATTGAGAGTCTGCACAAATGGATGTCTTGCAGATATTTTGGAGTGCAGTTCTGATCATCCTGGCTGGCACTTAATGAAAGTTGAAGTCCAAAACACCTGGAAGTCACCAGGTTGCCTGAATAGTCTGACCATACACTTACTGCTTTGAAGTGCCAACAGGTATTGATCAGAATAGATTTCTGAATTTGAGGTCTCAGGCAACTTGACTCATCATAACATCATATGCACGCTATATAATGTTAACTGTTAATCATTATATAGGAATGGAACCAGCAGGATTTATGTATGATTTTAAAAAATCTAGTGAATTTAGGCAGACATAAAATTCTGCACCCAGTTAGCATGAAGTTATTTATTAGAATAAAGTTGGTTGTCGAGATCTATATGTGAAGGTTTGCTGTTCAGACAAATAAGCATACCCAGTGATTGAACTGGACATTTTGACTTTTATCTTAAATAATGTTAGATTGTTTATTTTTATGGGTAGTATGAAATTCAGAGTAGATTTATCAGCATGAATAAGGAAGATTCAATAGACATTTTACATATTATATATTTGCACGTATAATAATACTGTGTCAGGCCTTTGAAACTTGTGGTCCTAGATAGCTTGGCTTCATCCCATGCAGAAAAGTTCACAGTGTAATTCACACAGGAGGCAGGAGGTGGCCTCATTTGGTAACCTAGCATTTGCTGCCACAGAGCTTTAACTGATTAAATGGTAATAAGCCATCTGTGCTGAATAGTGCCGGATCTTATTTTTGATAGATGCTACTATCACTGCAATCCATAACCGGTTTTAATCAGCTTTGAGAGTACTGCTAGGACCTGTTGAAACACTATTCTTGTCTTTCTGATGTAAGAATACAAAAAGGCTGGATATGTACTTTTTTACAGGCATTTTATAGAAGTATGTTTTTGTACAAAAGGAGGGTATCTGTAGGAGAGATAAGCACACATGGATTTCATCTTCAACTGAAATAAGATGATTTCTGTCTTTGCCTTTGATGCTTGTTAAATAAGAAAAAGCTTGCTCATACATGTAAGAAGTTGAAAACTTCAGCAAAATGTTCAGTACCTTCCTATGAATGGCAGGATACTCTTCTTTCACAGAAATCCAGAACTTGTCCATGGATCAGTGAATGTCATCTTGAGTGTATGATTAGATTGCAGTTTGCAAAGTTCTTCTTCTTCCTTCAAAGTGAAGGTCTCAGGCTGAGCAAAAGATGCAGAGAAAGGAACCCTCACCCAGTCATACATTTGTGTTGAAAGGGAGGGAAAGTACTGATCAGTTTTGTTCTGCAGTACTTCCAGGTGGTTTTCAATTAGATTTTTTGGTATCCTTCCTCGCTCTCAAGTCCAAGCAGCAATGGAAACATTTCAGTATTTCCTTTTGCAACATGATTTTTCCAAACATTGAGTTTTCTTTTAAATCCAAGAATCTTGTCACTTGAAGTCAAAACATTTTCCTTGGTCCTTGCAGAGACTTGTTCAACTGGTTCATATGATGAAAGATGTCCGCTAAGTATGCTAGTTTCTGCAACCATTCTCTATCTTCAAAGCACTCAGCAAAATGTGGAATACTATTTTCTCAAAAACACTCTTGCAATTTTGCCTTCAGCTCAAACACCCTGTTGAGAACTCTTCCTCTGCTGAGCCA